TAATACTACGATCTAATTTAACCAAACAGGAACGAAGAATGTGTGAGTTTAATGGATTTTAACTCAGAAATCAAGAAGGGCTCCCGTCGGTCGGCTCCAGAGGAAAGCTTTTGCACTCATGTACAATAATGAGGCTATTTAATGTAACAATACTGTGTGTGTGTGTGTGTGTGTGTGGTGTGTGTGTGTGTGTGTTACAGCAGAAAAATGCATCCTCCTTTTGGGGTTTTATTTCAATCCCCAGCTCACGTGCACCCTGTAGAATTCCATCAAGCTGTGTGTGTGTTATTTATGTGTGGTTTCCAGCCCCTGTGTAATCATGTTGATGTGTTGTGTGGTGTGTGTGTGTGTGTGTGTGTGTTTTGAACGTAAGTTGTGGTGTTTGTAACCTGTTGTGTGTATGTGTTCCTCATCAAGGTCTCTGTTACAAGCAAGCTGCAGTCTCTGCAGGCCGGTGGGGCAAGGAAAGTCCCCAAAGTCCTGCAGAGGGCTGGCAGCCCAGACATCCTCCATAGCCCCTAAGGTCCACAGTGTGTGTGTGTGTGTCTGTGTCTGTGTGTGGTGTGGTGTGTTGTGTGTGTGTGTGTTGTGTGTGTGTGCAGAGCAGGAGATTTGTTGAGGATTCGAAACATTGATTAAAATATTGAATTCGGAAACATCTGCTTCGCAATCATTCATTTAGCACTTAGCATTGATTCATATTTATTTACTGTGTGTGTGTGTGTGTGAAGTGTGTTGTTGTCAGTTTAATTGACTTTATGTTGTGAATGTTTTAAACAAACATGTTGCGCCAAAGCAGGAAGTAAAGTTATAATTAAATACTGCTAATACAGTGAAACAATATGAAATAATACACTTAAAGTCTTTGTGAAGCTGGCAGTAACTGTAACTGTAACTAAAACGTAACTGTACGTAACGACTTCAGATTTGATCAGCCCAATCTAAAGACGCATCACGATTCAAAACTTCCATCCCAATCTGTTGCCGTAACGTTGAAACGGCGTGTCCGTGGCTCAGCGTCGAATGTCGACGTTTTCAATGAAATCAGGAAGTTGTCGTAACTTCAGTCCTGCCTTTGTTCAATCTCCACCAAAAACGGCAGCTTGTCTGACTAAAAAGTCCGCCCTGAACACATCTTACGTGTTAATTATTCAGTCTAGTTTAATAGCAGCCCCTACTGGATAATTCTTATATTCAGCTGATTAAACACTAATGAAAACATACCTGTGAATATTATATTACAGTTCTGACAATAGATCCTCCTCAATGTTCCCAGACTCAAGGATCCACATAACCGACACAGACTCCTGATCTGATTTAGTTTTAAAGAAATCCTCTGAGTAATAATTTTAGTTTTAAGTTTCAAGATTATAAAGTTCCAAAAAAATATGATAAAAGTTAAAATATTCTGTTCCTCCTCTGGCTGACAACCCACTCAAGGACCCCAGTTAGAAAACCTCTGCATTAAATCATCCTGAGTCATCCATTACTTATGTATTACTTCAATATATTCTTTTTACCCTGATTATATAAAGTATTACTAATAGTTCTGTCAGTTCACTGTAAGAAAACAAGATGAATAATCGTTTCCTGCATTATTATTAGCTGACAGCTAGAAGTTCTACAGATATCAAACAGTGGCTCTGAGATACATCTGGACCATTACAGTAAACAGTCACTATATATATATATCTATATATATATAGATATATATATGTACATATAGATATGTAATATATGTGTATGATGTGCGACGGTGTTGGCTCTTACTTGTTGGTGCACTCCAGAGTTTCCACCTTCCTGCGCAGCTCGTTGTTTTCGTTGGAGCAGGTCTCCACCCTGTGGTCAGACAGAGTACTGCAGGGTCAGGGACTGAACAGCTCACACACTCACACAGGTTTTCTATTTTTCTATATATTCTGTTCTAGTTTAACACAAAATATCATCAGGAGCACAAACTTTTAGGTTTCTCTTTTTATGTGAACTGATATTACAGATACAGACGCAGTCGAGTTAAAATAAATCAAAAAAATGAGTTGGAACTGCAATCACACTCTTTCCAGGAATTAAAACTATACGTGAGAAAAGACTAATAATAGTTCAATAATCTTGCTCAGAAGTTGATTTAAAGCTCCCCTCCAGTCAGATATCTGTGTTTCCTCTGGTTCCCACAGTCTGTCTGTTTTCACATCTATCTGCTGAAAGTGGAAACTCCCTCCGCTCACTGACTGCGTTTACATGCACAAAACATTTGCCTTTTATTCCTACTGAGCTGTTTACACGACCAATGAAAATGAATATTCCTGAGCAGACTGAAAGAGCCGAGCAGTTTGATGGTTCAATCAAAGACAAACCAGTGAAGGAGCAGAACACAAACCCAGCAGCAGAGATTCAGTCAGTTTACCTCCCAGACTCTCTGCTGGGATGAAAGAATGACGAAGAGGAGGAGGAGGAGGACTTACTTTTTCTCCAGAGTGTCCATGTACTCTTTCTTCTTCCTGCGACTCTCCTGAGCAGAAATCTACAACACACAGAGAGAGAGAGAAACTAATGTTTGCTTTATTCTGCGTATTTATCCAACAGGTTTTCTTTTTCTTTTATGAGCTAACAAAGTCTGAACCGATATATTAAAGATCATTATGCTTCACATAAACAACATTACTGAAGGAAAGCTGAGAGTTCTTAAAAACCTCCGGAGGGAATATGATTATTTATTATTATTTACTTTTTAAGTACTTTTTTATGTGCCTTTTTTCAATTATTTGTAATAATATGCAATTTAAAAACTCCTTTAAAAACATAGAATAAAGTTTTCTTAATGAGCGGTGGAGTACAGACACTGCTGCTGGGCACGAAGTGGAGGTTGATATTCATCCATTAAAACATTTCTATCTACAATCTGTTTTCAGGGTTAATATTAATAAAACATGAGAGGATCATCTTTACCTTGTTTTTGATCTTCCTGCGGATCTTCTTCAGCGCCTTCTCCTCGGCTTTGGTGAGCGGCAGTTTGGTGGGAACCGGGTAACCTTCGGCCACCAGCGTACGGCGCTCCTCCTCAGTCAGCATCAGCGGGCCCGAGCCCTGCAGCTTCTGCACGCACACAAACAGACAAATACGATCGTTAGGACACACAAAATGTCTGCTGGAAAACAGTCTATGATCCACAGTTCTCTGGTGAACTCACGTCTCTGCAGGCAGAGTAAGAAACTTCCATCGCCTACATTTACCCTAATGTTAGAGCACTATTTACCCCCCACCCCGACATGCTGGCATGATGAGATTAGTACCAGTGGCTGCGTTAGGTCATCTAGTTTCCTATGATACCGGTATCTTCTATCTCTGAGCGACAGAGTGGCCCCCCAGGCCTCCCCTCTGGAAACGGCCCTGCTCTACACCTCTAATGTTCTACTAACTTATATTAATTAAACATACATTTTAAGGGCAGTATTTCTCATTATAAAGCAGACTGATACACTGGGATCTACACAAATACATTTTATTCCTAAAATAAACTGTGATGAAGAAGCAACCATATGAACGCCGGCGGTTTATCTCTTACGTGAGGCGCGGTGAGCAGCGGGGAGTTGGAGAGGCAGGACGCAGCTCGAGGAGACACCTTCAGGCTGGCCTGCGATGGAGCAGGGCTGGTGGGGGAGGTGGGGCAGGACAGGCCGGGCGGGGCGTGGACGGGGCTCTGGCTGCCCTCTGAGTCGCTGCCGTGGGAACTGGGAGGAGTGGGAGGCATCTGCAGGGACTCCAGACCTGAAACACCACAGGGGACCCATTAGCTTTAGCCTTAAGCATCCAGCCGTTCCTCTCGATAGGAGGAAATATTTTATGATACAGACTTATTCTGAGGATGACACAGGACAATGTGTGTGCATTTATTATCAACTCTTTCCCCTTTCTGAGACATTTAAAGACACGGCCTGCAGGGGTCATCATAGCATCAGATAACTGACAGCAGGAGGAAGAGGAAGAGGAAGAGGAAGAGAGGGAACACTTTCAGACCTTTGGGAGAAAGATTGAGAAACTGGTCGACTTCATGAGGTTCCAGTTTAATCTGGGGGATGATATTCTCCTCCTTTATCTGTCCAAGAGAGAGAGCGACAGGCAGAGTGAGAAACTGTAAAATCTCCACTAACATCCGTTTCCACCATCAGTCCTCGAGCTCTCACCTTGATGCCTTTGCCCTGGTTGTTGACTGCAGGCTGAGCTGGGCTGGCGGCAGCAACGGGGGCCACAGCGGGGCCCTCGGGCACTTGTGGCCCTGAGGCCAGAGAGAGGGAGAGGGTTGGGAGGAGGGAGGGAGTCTCACACAGGAGGCTGTCGATGGCGTCGTCCTGCTCCATCGGCCACTCAGCTGAATCTCCGTCGGAGTCGGCTGCAGAGGAACAAACAGACTCCTGTCAGGGTTAAATACATTACAGACCTACGGAAGCCCATTTCTGCCAATCTGACTGAAATAAAAGATTATTTAAGACATTATAATGAGGAACTTTCTCAATATTTTGACTTAGTATCTCAAAGTAATGACTCAATATTTTGCTAAAGTTTCTAATTTCTACATTTCATCTCATTTCTTATTAAACAACCGTTCTTCCACTTTATTGTACATTTTTTGTCATACATCATTAAACGGGTACAGTGAAGACGTGTCTCACCTGCTTCGCTGCCTTGCTCTCCGGTCAGGTGCGACAGGGGCGACTGCGGCCGGCTGTCCCCGCAGAGCGAGTAGCTGTGCTCGGCCGTGATGTGCGGGGGAAGCGGGGAAGACGGGGACAGGTCGCCCCCGTCCTCCCCCTCCATGGCTTCCACGCCGCCTCTCCCTCCGGACAGGAAGGGGTCGCTGAGCAGCTGGCCCAGCAAAGCATCCTGGGAAAGGTCGTCCAGAAGCTCGGAGAAGTGCTGCATAGAGGAGAAGAAACGTGTTTATGAAGTGAAGCCGTCAGAGAGGAGGAGGCCGATAATCACAGAAAGCCTGCAGCCTGTAATTAGAGGCTGCTACATCTTTTATTGCCACCTTTCCTTGAAGTTTCCCTCCACTCTCCCCCCGGGGGGACTTTAAATTCAAACTTAGACAAACCAACAATCTCAGCCCCCTAATCACCATTTCTCTCTCAGTGTGGTGACACATTTACAAAACAGAAGGTAGCAGACAAGCCCCCCCCTGCAGCCCCCTTCTACCCTTAATCTCCTCTTTCATTCCCCCCCCCCCCCATCGTCCTCCTTCACCACATTCCTGCATTCTTCTTCCCCTCCTTCTATCTTTGCTACCATCTCTCAACAAGGTGAGTGCACAGCTCTCCCTCCGTGTTCAGGTGCACAAACATCTTCTAACACAGAACCGGTGAAGGTCTCCAAATACGGCTGCAAATCATCAGAGAAACGAATATTTTCTGTTAAATGTCTTTATTTGTCTGACCAACCGTCCAAAACAGTCTAAAATATTCAGTTTACAGTAAAACAGAGACACAGTGTGAATCCCAGTGCAGCTGACCCTCAGTGTTTTTAAAAAAGTTTTTTGTGCTGGTATCAATAAAGCTCTACATGCTATTTTATATCTATTATCTAAAGTAAAGTCTTATGAAGAGTATAAACGAGTGTAACAAGTATAAAAAATGTTAGAATATCTTAAACGTCTTAAATTCATTATTTGTTTGTATCTTATGGTGTGACACATAAAAACTACACAATGAATTGATTTTTCCAGCCCTGCTTCACTCGAACTCGTCGACCCTGGAGAAAATATTTCTGATGTAACTTCAACTGCTCAAATTCAGCAGTTGCCGGGCAGAACGCGGCGAATGCGTCCAATGGGATATCGTCCAGCCTGGGCTCGGCCAATGAGGAGGGAATAAAACTTTTAAATCAAACACACATGGAAGCGTTTCCTCCGAGGAAGAAGAAGACAGAATCTAATCTTAACGTCTACTTTTCAGATTCTGTTCAGTTCGGTGACACGAGGCGACGAACGGACAGATGGATGGATAAAGTGAGAGTGAAATCAAGATGGAGGACGGCTTAACGCCAAGCATGTGGCTTCAATGACAGCCAGAAAAGAAGAGAAGGGGCAAGAGGAGAGAGAGAGAGAAGGGAAACTTGCGTACATTGTTCTCTTCCTCGATGTCATCAGACCTCTCAGCCTCGATAACACATAGCCTCTCTCCTGGCCGCGGTATTGCTGCCCTAAATTGGCCCGGTTAACAGGCCCCGTGTGTTGTGTGTGTGTGTGTGTGGCAAACACCGACAGCATACCGTGAATCTATTCAAGAGGGTGGGAAGCCAAATATTTACACATTTATCCACCAGTGGGTCCATTTCCTTCTCTTCAGCGTGTGTATGTGTGTGTGTGTGTGGATGCCTGCGCGTGCCAAAACACATCACATTATGAGGGGCAAACATTTCAAAGTAGTTCACAGAGCCATATATACCCCAACCCAGGGTCGTCTCCATGGTTACAGAGAGAATATCTTATACGGTATTGCAGCTCCTCAGATCTTAAAGCACAAACACGCTGACAGTTCTGGGTTAAACTGTGATGGCGGGAATTATAATAATAACACCGGTTGTTGCTTATTTTTATTTTAATTAAAGGCAAAAATGTATTTAAGTTTTAAGAAAACTGTATTTAAGGACACTTAACTTGCTTTCCTAGTTAAGAACTGGTTTTATTTCTGTGTTGGCAGATTCAAAAACACTCAGGAGGAAAACAGATTGTACTGAGTGAAGTCCAGTGGTTCCCAACCTGAGGGTCAGGACCCCCCAATAGGGGTCGCCAAAGCCTCACAGGGGGTCACAAGGCGAGATGGATTCTCCAGCTGCCTGCAAGCTTATTAAATAAGCACTTGATGGAAAGACGATAGAAGATAGAGCGCTAAGAAACAGAAGATAAAGCTAACAGGTCACAAGCAAAAAGCATGTTTCACTTTTAATGTTATGATGAGAACTAACTGATTATTAATATATGTGATCAGCGTTTTCTGGATTTTATCTTCAGGATATTTTGTACAATTCTGGCAAATTATCAGACATGAGACGAAGTAAGAAAATGAGATTGAGTTTAGCTTTCAGATCAAAAAGAGGAGCGAAAACCATGATGGTAAAAAGGAAAAGAGGGTGTAGTTTTTAGGGAAGAGTAATTACATACAAAACCCATATTTAAACATATTTATATTATATATATATATTTTGTGGGTTCAAACCCAGTTTCTATGATTTCATATATATATCACACATTTCGCTCTATGGCTCAGAACTGCTGCTCTCTGCGGTGCAACAACAAAAGCTCTGAAAAATCTCAAATTTGAACACAAATAAACAACTAATCCGCCCAACATGAGGAATAAAGCCTCATCTTGTTTCAGTAAAGGAAATGGGAGAGGTCCAACTACGCCTGCATGAAAACAGAACCACACCAAAGCCACACAGAGGGGATTTATACGCTCCCTGTCATCATTCCTGCAGTGGGAGTCTGTGGCTGCGGTCGTGTGAAAAGGCAAAAATGCGATGCGGGGCAGAAGGCCGGGCTGGAGGATCGGTCACTGGCCCGGGTGTAACTCCTCGCACACAACAGAAACCTCTTTGTCCTTGCAGCCCAACAGAGAGGTGCTATTTAACTGTAACTTGACACTCTCCAGCTGGAAAGGAGAACCCGAGGAGCTGAAGCCTAAATGGGAAAACTGGAAGTTTAAAGCTGGAACTAGGGCACGAATCAGGAGCAGTGGCGACAACAAAGAGGCTATTCTCATATTTTTCTGAATAACGTTTCGCCTGTGAAACAAATCCAAAACGAGCACATCGCTGAAAGTGCAGATTGTAATCTTTTAATGAAGCCACAATGAAGTGTGCTCTGGCGAAACATCGACGTCAACGCTTTCAGAAGCTCAGCTGTAATTTCTGATCGTAATCGAACCAAAAGACTCCAAACAAAGTAAAAACAAAGCTGAAAAAGGAGCTGAGTGTGTGACGACATATAGTTGGAGCTGAGAAAACAAGAGTCTACATGCCAGGATAGCATAACCTGCAGTTCCTCTAACGTCCACTAGAGGCTGGCTCCAGCAGTGAGTCTCCATAAGGACCCATATTAAAACATAAACATGTTTACAGCCTTTTGGTCTCTAGAGATAATTCCCCCGTTCATGGGGACTGTACACCCTGTTTGACCTATATTAAGGCTTCAATTGTAGGGTAGGCACACAGTAAACCTAAATTTAATCTATTAAATAAAACAATAAATATCTGTGAAATAATTAAATGTTTCAAATGTATATTATTTTTTACAGTGTACAGCTGTTTTCCTCCCTAGCACATTAGTCAGATCCTTCAGTGGGAGATGGAAAAAACACACCAATTGTAAACCTAAAAAAACTAGTTACCAAGCGAAGTAGCGAGCGCTGCGGCAGTTACAGCCTGGACAGCTGCGGAGGTCACCAGCAGCTAAATTAGTGGGAGTGGAAACGGGCAGAAGGAATGTCCTCTCGGGTCTGTAATTCTCCTGTAAAATAGGGATGTCTGTTTTAACCTTTAATGACCAGACGTTTGAGCCTCGGAGGAAGGAGGAGAGGAAAGTCTGATGATGTAACACCTTCCTCCCCCTGAAGAGCTAAACCAGATGTCAAAGCGTGCAGCGGAAAGAAGGACTGAAGACACCCACACAGGCCCAAGGGTCACCCCCCTCCAGTGTGTGTGTACCTTGCCCTGGACTCATCTGTGTGCTGATGATAAAGCTTCACGGCACACAGCACGCTAATAAAACAGACAACACGCGCTCTTAAATGAATTTAAGTCGAGATAAAGTGAATGACTCATTAGTTTGATTTGGACCCAGGTTGTGGACTCGCTGGAACATCAGCTGGTTATCTGGTTACGATTGGACACGTGTTGGTAATTAGTGATAAAGTTTGAAGAGATATCGGATCATTTATCGGTCTGTTTTTACACACATTGCACTGTAAGAACGCTTTATCAGTCAAAGAGTCAAATAAACCTCCATAAATCTGCTGCTCATATCTACAGAACTTGCTTTAGAAAGAACATTTTTAGGTTTGCTTCCATATCGAAGTCATCCACTGATGGGCACACTGCAAACAGGAGCTGCTAACAGTTAATACAGCGTACGTTTAATGGTGCCAGTCTGCCAAAATGTAAACAAAGAGCAAACAAACTAATTGGAAACCCCCCCGATTTATGTCAATAAGTCCTTAATAGAGGCTCAGGAGTGAGTCTGAATCTTTAATTATAAATGTCATAAAGTCATTAATAAAGGTTTCTTTCAATAATTCAAGTCTGCAGTTTTAAATTTTAATGAGTTGTTAATAAGTGAACTCTGGTTCAGAAGAGATTAAAGTCTCCATTATAGGAAACCTTCGGAGGAATTAAAGATCTAAAAAGACAAAACAAGATAAGATTGAGTAAATATGAAATATCAATAAAAATGATTAATGATAAAAAAAGACGTGTAATTGGAAAAATGTCTGAAATAAAACTGTATTCATTCCTAATGCCACCGTTAGATATTTATATTCATTTCTTTATGAGTTCAAATATCTTCATTTGGGAGCTTTGGGAGCACGCAACCTTCTTCTTGCCAGCCCATGAATATTTTTACAGATCTACTTCTGGGTGTTTTAACCTTTATTCATACAAAGAAGCTCGTTCTTCCACCAATGCACTGCTCAGTTTAGAGCTTTTCTCAGTGGTACAGGAGGGAAATGTTATTCCTTCTTCTGCTCTAACCTCAGTTTCCCAGCTGCTCTGAGACTCTCGTACCATCAACCCCCCCGGCAAGTTCCCAAAACACTTCACGATAAAAACAGCACAACATTTGCATATCTGAAGCTCAGTTGCTGGTGTTGGTGTTTCAGTAGCATTCAGGAGTGAAACTGGTGTCTGAAGTATCTGCAGGA